AAAATCGATACTGAATCGAATCGCCATGATGGATGTGATTTACACCCCTAGTACCAGGTCATGCAGCCATTTTCATTGTACAGATCAGTTATCGTCTGATCGCTGCTCTGGTGTCTCCGCTGAAATCATTGCGGTGTTGGCGATACTGATGACATAGACCTAGTTATATTTAATTACAAATATGATATTTTTCTCCCCAGGCTCTCAGGTAAAGAGAGCAGAGGGTGAAGAGACTTGAGCTAAAACCTAAACTGAAGGGGGTGGAATGCTTCTCCCATCACAGCGCTAATGGGGCATTTACATCTGAAAAGGGAATCATGAGTTGTGAAGTACTGTTGGGGGGACTGGAGGCTGATGAAAATTCTTTTATCTCTTAGACTTCTAGTGTTAAGGAGTCTTTTGGGTTGATTGAGAACACAATTGTTGCCCAATAATAAAAAATAATCCTCAAAAATACAAATTGCCAAATAATTCTGCACACAGTGTAAATATTGATGAGCATACCATAAAAGGAAGAAAACCTGTCGTTTCATTCAGGGGCTTTTAACCAGGTTTGCATTAGGGCTCATAGAACAGCAAATATGCCATTTTCAGCCTAACCAAGGTTACACACCCTATTAGAGACCTTAAGGACCAGAACCAAATACCCAATATAATTATTCTATGACCCCTTTAAAAACAATACTGTACTTCAATCGTCTTTGCATCTTAACTAAAAAGCCAAAGGAAGAATTAAAACAAACCATATCAGGGTAGTAGGCCACTGCTCTTTCTTGTTTGCCCTTAGACACCAGCTTGAAAAGGATTGGCAGGTCAATAATATCCTCCTCATCCAGGCCCAGCTCTTTCTTCAGCACATCCCTGTTCCAGTCAATGCAGTCCTGTTACAGACCGGTGGGAAAAAGACACTAAAGTTGACGAACTTTAGGGAGCATAATAAGCAGATGTCAAAGGTTTAACAGCCTTCTAAGACATCCAAGTAGAAACTATTGAAGGAAAAGTCCACTCATTTTCAGAATTCAAACTTTTAAAAGTTCTTTAAATATAAAATCATGACATACTTTTTAATAAATGTAATTTTCATTTGAAGGAGCTTTACTAGAGGCATCCATGTTCATCAAAGAACACTACTGCCACCTACTGGTTTGTGACGTCACGGTGCAGTATCGGCTGCTGATCAAGTCCCAATGCTCTATCGGGTGTTTGTCAATAAGTGCCATTATCCAAGTCATCTTTAAAACATTCTTCGAAATGTTGGCTACATATTACGCCTTTTTTCTCTTGCCAGAATTTCGATGGTAAATCCTCCCTCTTTAAGTTGGCAATCCAACGACGAACCGGTGGAGGATCATGAACTGGAAAGGTGAAATCATTTTCTTTTTTTTTTTTACTTTTACCAGATGTATTACAACATCCAACTACCATGTACATGGGCATTGTCACTTAAACTATAGCGCTCACGAATTTCAATGGTGAAGTCCTCTTGAAATCTAATATAATTGTTGTTGATTGCAGGTGTGTATGATAGTTTGTATACTGTAGATTTTGCTTGTAAAGTGGGGAGAATGGTCCTAGGCTTACCGCACCGTGACGTTAATTACATTTTTA